TTAACCGGGCATGGTAGCGTGCACCTGTAATTCCGGCTACTCGGAAGGCTGAGGTGGAAGGATTGCCGGAGCCCAGCAGGTCGAGGCTCCGGTGACCGGGAGCGGCCACTGCACTCTAGTCTGGGTGACAGAGTGAGACTCCAACTCAAAAATAAAAATAAAAATAAAAAAAAATTTAAAAACCACTTGATGATGGAGTGACACTCCAACTAAAAAAAAAAAAGGAAAAAAAAATTAGCCAGGTGTAGTGGTACATGCTTGTAGTCCCAACTACTCAGGCAGGAAGATCACGTCTCAAAGACCAGACCGGGCAACTTGGCGAGACCTCGTCTCTACAATAAATAAAAAATGAGCCAGGTGTGGTAGCGTGTGCCTGTAGCTACTTGGAAGGCTGAGGCAGAAGGATCACCAGAGCCCAGCAAGTTGAGGCTGAGGTGACCGTAAGTGTGCCACTGCACTCCAGCCTGGGTGATGAAGTCAGTCTCAGACTAAAAAAATGTATTTTGTTCTGAGTGCAGTGGCTCACACCTGTATCCTAGTGTTGTGGTCCAAGTAAATGCTCGGCTGCTGACCCTGATGCCGATAAAGTGAGAGGCAAAAAGACTGGTAGAAAGAAGTTTACTTCTGAATTCTAATCCAGGGAGCAGAACCGGACTGGAGGCCTTTCTAAAACGGTTCTGCTCACCTTTCAAGTTTTACAGTCCGCTTTTATAAGTTCAGGGTTGTTGGTACTTGTACACTGACCATATGACTAGCAGAGCATTGTATGGAACCTAAGTTACAGCCCCACTTGTCAATAATGACATTTTATGGTTCACGTTTCCTGATGCCAGTTTAGTTACATCTCCTGGCACTATTTACCAGCGGTATCTCACGGCTTTATATCAGTAATGCCCGGTAGAAGCATTAGCCAAGCTTGTAAAGGAAGTTAACAGGGCCTAGGACATCATACATTGTTACATGTTGTTATACAAAAAAGTTATATAAATCACAAGACTTTTGGTTACATTGATATAAAAATTATGCATGTAAAAATTATGCATGTATAAACAAGACTTATTACCTTGAAGATACATTATTCAAACTTATGATTACTAAGAAAAGGGAGTAAATGGGAATTTATTTCTCTCAGTTAATTTGGCACAGTCTGCAGGGAAATTAAGGATTTCTTTTTTTAGTTTTTCTGTTTTTTTAGTTGGCATCTCACTCCATCACCCAGACTGGAGTCCAGTGGCATGGTCACGGCCACCCCAGTGTCAACCTGCTGGGCTCTGGGGATCCTTCCGCCTCAACCTTCCAAGTAGCCGGAACTACAGGCACGCATTACCACACCCAGCTAATTTTTTATTTATTGTAGAGACTAGGTCTCGCCAAGTTGCCCAGGTGGGACTTGGTGGTAGAATCTCATGTTGGTGGCCTGATCAGAGAACTATTATGTAATTTAGGGCACTGCAGACCTGCAAGGAGTTAGGAATTGTGTTTTAAGTTTGTTGGATGGATTCAATTGCCTGTTTAGCAATAACTACAGAAATACTGAAAAATTCAAATTACTAATTTCGTGTTTGAAGAAACATAAAGTAGAAAAGCACATACATGGCTGGGCTCGGTGGCTCAGCCTGTAATCCCGCGCTTTGGGAGGCTGAAGTGAGTGGATTGCCTGAGCCCGCGAGTTCGAGACCCACCTGAGCAACTTGGCAAGACCTCATCTCTACAATAAATAAAAAAAGCAGCCGGGTGCGGTAGCGCATGCCTGTAATTCCAGCTACTCGAGGCTGCAGTGGCCGGGAGCGGCTACTGCACTCCAGTCTGGGTGACAGAGTGAGACTCCCACTCAAAAAAAAAAATAAGAAGAAAGGGTTTAGACATTTTACTGCAGCCCAAGCAGCCACGGCCTATTGCATCCCCTCGGCAAATCTCCATCAGATGCAAGATCAGGGCAGCCCAACCTTTCAATTCATGATTATAATAACAATCTCTAATAAACTTTCCTTTTTTTTTGAGTTGGAGTCTTACTCTGTCACCCAGGCTGCAGTGCAGTGACCCACTCACGGCCACTGCAGCCTCGACCTGCTGGGCTCAGGTGATCCTTCGGCTTCAGCCTTTCAAGTAGCTGGCAAAACCATAAAAATGATAATAAGGCCTGGCGTGGTGGCTCATGCGTATAATCCCAGCACTTTGGCAGGCAGAGGTGAGAGGACTGCCTGAGCCCACGAGTTTGAGACCATCCTGGGCAACTTGGCGAGACCTCATCTCTACAAAAACAAACAAACAACAAAAAATAGCCGGGTATGGTAGCTTGTGCCTGTAGTTTCAACCACTTGGAAGGCCAAAGGGGAAGGATCGCCTGAGCCCAGCAGGTCGAGGCTATGTTGGCTGGGAGCGTGCCACTCCCCTCCAGCCTGGGCGACAGAGTAAGTAACTTCATAACTCCAACTCAAAAAATAAAAATAAAAGGTAATAAGGCCACTTTTGGTCAAGGAGTTTGCGGATTGCAAATGTCTGACAAAGTCTCTTACAGGAAAACCTCCTCCCCTTGTCTCCTTCCATCTAGCCCACCACCTGAGAGCATGAGATACTAATGTCCAGTGACCTCAAGAGCTAAGACTCATGTGACTACAATCAACATCAAAGACCTGCAGCCCTGGACACTCCTTCAGGCAAAAATCCCCCTACACAAAAGCCCTTAAATATGCCAATTTTGTGGCCCTTGGAGGTCACACTTGCCTTTGAGTGTTGACCCCTTTCCAATCTGTGAAAGGTGAATAATAAACTTTACTTTTTTCTGCTTTCTTTTTTTTTTCGGTTTTTTTTTTTGAGTTGGAGTCTCACTCTGTCACTCAGACGGGAGTGCAGAGGCTGCCCCCGGCCACCGCAGCCTCAACCTGCTGGGCTCCAGCGATCCTTCCGCCTCAGCCTTCCAAGTAGCTGGAACTACAGGCGCGTGCTACCACGCCCAGCTAATTTTTGATTTATTGTAGAGATGAGGTCTCACCAAGTTGCCCAGGCGGGTCTCAAACCCGCGGGCCCAGGCAATCCACTCACCTCGGCCTCCCAAAGTGCTGGGATTACAGGCTGAGCCACTGAGCTTTGCCATGCTTTCTTTTTTTGAGCTGGAATCTCACTCTGTCGCCCAAACTGGAGTGCAGTGGCTGCTCCCGGCCACTGCAGCCTCCACCTGCTGGACTCCCGCAATCCTTCTGCCTCAGCCTTCCAAGTAACTGGAACTACAGGCGCGTGCTACCACACCCAGCTAATTTTTTATTTATTGTAGAGATGAGGTCTCGCCAAGTTGTTCAGGCGGGTCTCGAACCCGCGGGTTCAGGCAATCCACTCACCTCAGCCTACCAAAGTGTGGGATTATAGGCTGAGTCACCGAGCCCGGCTCCTTTTTTCTGCTTTCTTACTTGGTTGCAATCTTGCTTATTCCTGTGGCCCCAGCACTGGCTCTGGCCTACCTTGGCTCAGTTGACCCTTTCACTTCCTATCACCTTACTCCACTCCATCTTTCTTCATTTTTAGTTTTGTTTTGAGTCAGGGTCTCACTCTGTTGCTGAGGCTGGAGGACAGTGGCAGGATCACAGCTCACTGCAGCCTCAAACTCCTGGGCTCAAGCAGTCCTCCAGCCCCAGCCTCCCGAATAGGTGTGACTATAGCCCTGCGCTACCAAGTCCGGCTCATTTTTTGATTTTTTTTTTTTTTGTAGACATGATGTCTTGCTATGTTGCCCAGGCTGGTCTCAAACTTCTGGCCTCAGGCAATTCTCTAGCCTCCGCCTCCCATGGTGCTAGGTGCTAGGATTCCAGGCATCACCCTCGGGCCCAGTCTAATTGGGGGGGGGTTGAGTCGGGCGTCTCACTCTGTGGCTGAGGCTGTAGTGCATTGGCATGATCGTGGTTCACTGCAGCCTTGACCTCCTGGGCTCAGGCAATCCACCCTTCTCAGCTTCCCAAGTAGCTGGGACTAAAGACACGCCATGACGCCCAGTTAATTTTAAAATTTTCTTTATAGAGGCGAGGTCTTGGACTCCTGGGCTCAACCAATCTTCCTGCCTCGGCTTCCCAAAGTGCTGACGTTACAGGGATGAGTCCCCAGGCCCGGCCATTTTTCTTCATTGTGCTGGCCACTATCTGAAATTATATTTATTCATTTGAACACCTTTCTTGTCGTCCCAGTACGTGACCACAAGAAAGAGAAGACTTGCTTTAGTCACGTGCTGTAGCAACAAAGCCCCGACAGTGCCTAGCACACACGAGATGCTCGACGCACAATTATTGGTTGAATAGATTAGGCATCAATGCAATCATACTATTCACTTAGGGACTCTTTGCCAGGCGGCGGAGAGGTACATCACAGTGTATTACCCAACACGCATGCGCGCAAGATCCGGAAGTGTGTGCGGGGAAAGGGGCGGAGCATCAGGAAGAGTCTCGCGGTCCGCGGCGGTTGGAGCAGAGAGCGCGAGGTGGTGGTGGGGAGGGCTTAGTCTGAGTGCGCGTGCGCAGTGTGGACACCGGCCACCGCGGCCGCGGAGTTTCTGGTGCCGGAAGGCGGGGGTAGTGACCTTGCGCGTGCGCTCTGCCCGCGGTGGCGCCGGCTGCCACTGTGTGAGTTCTTCGGCAACTCGCGCGGCGCGTGCGCACTGCGGCTGGCGGAGGGATCTGAGGCCGGGTCCCACCCCCTGCTCCCCTCGCTAGCCGAGGCGGCGCGGGCTCGTGAGTAGCGGCCTGGTGCGCGCGCTGGGCGGGCGACGGAGCCAGACGGATACGGGCGCCGCCGGAGTGGAAGCCGGAGCAGGAGTCCTTATTGCTGAGGGGCCGCCGCAGCCGCCGCGAGCCTCCGGACCGAAGCCAGGCCGAAGAGGGCGCCGCGCGGGGAGTGAGTGTGACTGAGTGGCCTGACGGGGTGCGGGGCCGCTACCCACAAGCCTCTGCGGCGGGCCCCAGGCCCCTTCCCCGCGGCCGGGCCTCCTTCCCGCGTCCCCGCCACGGCACTCCTCTGCACTCCTTCACCCAGACCCAGAGTCTTCGGGTCGCTCACGCCAGCTTCCCAGCAGCCCTCCCCTCCCCCCGCCTCGCGGTCCCCTACCCACAGGCCCTTGCGGTGTGTTGCCTTTTTCTTTTTCGCCTCCCCGTGTTGTCCTGGACTCTTACCCACAATTCCTTTCGCCCATGGGGACCCAAATCTATTCCCCACAAGCCCCTGCCATGGGGGATTTGCTTCTTACGACTCTGTCGTTTTGCTTGGAGATTTTCTGCTGGCAGACCTCTGCAATCCCCTTCTCATAGTCTGTTCTCCGAGCTGCGGGACCTGCAGCCTCACCTGCTCTGGGCCTCCCTCCTCGGGATCCTTGATTCACCCACAACCCCCCAGGGAGTCTCTCAGGGCCCCGGCTCAGGACTCTGGACTCTGAGAAACCCTTTTCCAGTTTTTGTTTCCCTTACCGGCCCCGCACCCACCGAGAGCTCGCTTTCTCACCTAGACGCATCCTTTTCCTCTGTGACTTAGGATCGTTCTTTGCCCTTACAGGGTTTATTTTAATACTTATTGCCTCTTTTTTTTTTTTTTTGAGAGTTAAGGGATCATAGGGGCTTCCTCTCTATTGACCCGCTCTAACGCAAGGCTGTCCCGCTTCTGCTCTCAGACTTGGCAAGATGACCCAGTTCCTGCCGCCCAACCTTCTGGCCCTCTTTGCCCCCCGAGACCCCATCCCATACCTGCCGCCCCTGGAGAAACTGCCACATGAAAAACACCACAATCAGCCCTACTGTGGCATTGCGCCGTACATCCGAGAGTTTGAGGTGAGTTCACTGAGCAGGCTAGGAGTGGTTTGGATTCTGACAGGGGGCTGGATTTGGGAATCCAGTCGTTGACTTGTTTCCTAGCAGTGTGATTTAGGTAGGTGACTTAGTCTTTCTTTTTTATTTTTTATTTTTGAGTTGGAGTCAGGGTCTCACTATGTTACCCAGGCTGGAGTGCAGTGGCACCTTCGCGGCTTACTGCAACCTTGACATCTTGGGCTCAGGTGATCCTTCTGTTTCAGCCTTCTGAGTAGCTGGGACTACGGGTGCACATCACCGTACCTTGCTGATTTTTCTGTAGAGACGAAGTCTTGCCATGTTGCTCACTCAGGCTGTTCTTGCACTGCTGGGCTCAAGCAATCCTCCCGCTTTAGCCTGGGATTATAGGCGTGAGCCACCATGCCCAGCCTCACTTAATCTTTCTGATCATCAGTTTTACTGTTTTAAGTAGAGTTGATGCCAAGCATGGTGGCATGCACCTGTAGTCCCAGTTACTTAGGAGGGTGAGGTGAGAGGGTCACTTAAGCCCGGAGGTTCAAGGTTACAGCAGTAATGATTGCACCACTGTACTCTAGTCTGGGTAACATAGACCCTGACTCCAAAAAAAGGGGGGGTGGCGGTTAATAGTAAATCTCTTGTAGGGTTTTTGTGAAAATTCAGTAACTAGTGGTTGAAGATTCACACTCTGGAGTCAGGTAGTCTTTGGCCCACACCATTTATCAGTTGTATGACTGGGCAAGTGTTGCATCCGCTTAATGTATTCTCTTAATACTTTGGTTTCTCTATCTTTAGCAAGAGGGTAATGGTAATGTCCTCGTAATATTGATGGAGAATTAAATGGCAAAATGTATGTCAGAGGGCTTGTCACCAAGCAGGCAGTGAATGTCAGCATTTGTTGTTCTTTTTTTTTTGAGTTGGAGTCTTAACTCTGTCGCCCAGGCTGGGGTGCAGAGCACGTTCATGGCCACCCCAGCGTCGACCTGCTGGGCTCCAGCGATCCTTCCGCCTCAGCCTTTCAAGTAGCTGGAACTACAGGCATGCGCTATCACACCTGGCTAATTTTTCTTGATTTATTGTAGAGATGAGGTCTTAACAGTTTGCCCAGTCTGGTCTTGAACCTGTGTGCTCCCAAAGTGCTGGGATTCTAGGTGTGAGCCACCATTCCCGATGCTTTGATATTCTCTTTACCATTTTTCACTGTTAACAGGGTGATGTACGTAAAGGGTTAGCACCATGAACTGGGGTCCTTAAGACCATGGGCTTGGGGATCTTAGTTCTTCACCTTCCTGGAAAACTTGAACAAACTACTTAAGGCTCCCAAGCCTGTTTTTTGTTGTTGTTGTTGTTTTTTTTTGAGTTGGAGTCTCACTCGGTCGCCCAGACTGGAGTGCAGTGGCTGCTCCTGGCCACCGCAGCCTTGCCTTCTGGGCTCCGGCGATCCTTCTGTCTCAGCCTTCCAAGTAGCTGGAACTACAGGCGCGCGCTACCATGCCCAGCTCATTTTGATTTATTGTAGAGATGAGGTCTCGGCAAGTTGCCCAGGCGAGTCTCGAACCCGCGGGCTCAGGCAATCCACTCACCTCAGCCTCCCAAAGGCGCGGGATTACAGGCTGAGCCACCGAGCCTGGCTCCAAGCCTGTTTTTTAACAGCACACCTGAAAAGTGCCAGCACAGCCAGAAGTAAAAAGAGGAACATTCTGACATTGAGTAGAGGAAGTTGTAGAATGGAAATTAGTGGATAACAGAATGGTGGCTCCTCAGTGGGACTTGCCATCCTTGGTGAATAATCACTTGGGAAATGTTATTAGCCAATTAAATTATGTAAACGGGTATAGGTTGGTGATGTCCTTTGATGTTGTAGGTCATGTGCCAGTTACTATTTAATGAGTGGTTGGTGAGACCTGTAAGAACTGCTATGGCCTTCAGAGAATATCCAGCTGTGTACTTCCAAGCCTTGCCCTGTCAACTGCTGTCACTTCAGCCTGGTCCTTTTCACTGGCACTAATAAGCAGGGTCCATCCCATCACTCCATTCACATTCTCTGGCACTTTGTTCTGTGTGAATGATACTTGGAGCAGTAAAAGCAGTGGGTTTGCTAAATATGGGAAACAAGAACCTTAATCAGTGTTCTTTTTTATTTTATTTTTTTATTTTTTTTGAGTTGGAGTCTCACTCTGTCGCCCAGACTGGAGTGCAGTGGCTGCTCCCGGCCACCACAGCCTCAACCTGCTGGGCTCCGGCGATCCTTCTGCCTCAGCCTTCCAAGTAGCTGGAACTATAGGCGCGCACTACCACGCACAGCTAATTTTTGATTTATTGTAGAGATGAGGTCTCGCCAAGTTGCCCAGGCGGGTCTTGAACCCTTGGGCTCAGGCAGTCCACTCACCTCAGCCTCCCAAGGCACGGGATTATAGGCTGAGCCACCGAGCCCAGCTTTTTGTTTTTTTTTTTTTAGTCAGAGTCTCACTCTGTTTCCCATGCTGGAGCACAGTGGCACGATCACGGCCACTGCAACCTTGACCACCTGGGCTCAAGAGTCTCTTCTACTTTCAGCCTCCTAAGTAACTGGGACTATGGGCATGCACCAGCACATCTGGCTAATTTTTTTTTATTTATTGTAAAGACATGGTCTCACCAAGTTATCCGGGCTGGTTTGGTGTTCTTAAGCTAGATGTCACTTGTGGCAGTGCTTTTTGTTTCTTTTTTTTTTTTTTGGAATTGGAGTCTCACTACTTCACCCAGGCACACTCATGACCACCCCCAGCATTGACCTTCTGGACTCCAGTGATCCTTCCGCCTCACCCTTCCGAGTAGCTGGAACTGGAACTACAGATGCGTGCTACCACGCCTGGCTATTTTTTATTTTATTGTAGAGACGAGGTCTTGCCAGGTTGCCTGGGTTGGTCTCGAACCCGCGGGTTTAGGCATTCCACTCGCCTCAGCCTCCCAAAGTCCTGGGATTACAGGCTGAGCCACTGAGTCTGGCTGACAATGCTTTTCAAAGTGTTTGTGGTGATGGATAAATATCGTTTCTAGTTTGTTGCAGATTGGTGCTTTTGATAAACACAGTAGAATTAATCTTTTTTTTTTTGAGTTGGAGTCTCACTCTTGTTGCCCAGGCTGGAGTACAGTGACACGCTCATGGCCACAGCAGAGTTTTCATTTTTCTAGTATTTTATTTTATTTTATTTTATTTATTTATTTTTTTGAGTCGGAGTCTCATTCGGTCGCCCAGACTGGAGTGCAGTGGCCGCTCCCGGCCACCGCAGCCTCGACCTGCTGGGCTCTGGCGATCCTTCCTCCTCAGCCTTCTGAGTAGCCGGAATTACAGGCACGCGCTACCACGCCCGGCTGATTTTTTGATTTATTGTAGAGATGAGGTCTCGCTGCCCTGGCGGGTCTCGAACCCGCGGGCTCAGGCAATCCACTCACCTCCGCCTCACAAAGGCGCGGGATTACAGGCTGAGCCACCGATCCCGGCTAGTATTTTATTTTTAAAGAAGAATCTACAAAATAAAAGACCAAATTTTTGTTAGAGCCAAGGAACATAAAACTACTATATTAGGTTGCTATAGAAGTTTCCGAATACATCTTATTTCTGTACTTTTCTTGTCATGGACTAAACAGTTGGTGGGCAGTGCTGGTCCACAGGCCATGCTTTGATCTGGGCCCTCCACTGTGGTTGCAGAACTGTCCATATTTATTTGCTTATTTGTGTAGGTGGTGGGATTAGGGGCTGAATGCATATTTCCTTGGTAAGTGTCCCTTGCCGTTTCCCCTAGTCCTTCCCATCCTGTCACATCTTTCTGTTTCCAGGACCCTCGAGATGCCCCTCCTCCAACTCGTGCAGAAACCCGGGAGGAGCGAATGGAGAGGAAGGTATGTCATTTTTGCTTCCTAATCCCATATCTCTTTTGCTACTTTCTCCAGGTGGTTCCGGTCACTAGAGCACTTATATCTGCATTCACTTCTCCACCTCCCTTTTCTCCCAACAGAGACGGGAAAAGATTGAGCGACGACAACAGGAAGTGGAGACAGAGCTAAAAATGTGTAAGTCTCTCATTCCCCCTTTCACCTTTCTCCCCTAAACCCTCTGTGTTCTTCCCACGTCATAGCCAGGACCCTGCTCTTCCAAAGGCATGTTTTTTATCGGGGAGAAGGAGCAGGGTTGTTAGTTCACTTATTTAGCTTCCACCATTTGCCAAGCACTGTGTTTGGTTTAGGCTTTTAGGCAGGAGAGCATGGGATAAAAAGTCGGCAGCAAGGGAGACCCCTGGTACCTCAGGCTTCTCCTGCAGGGGAGAATACTTGAGAGCTTCCCACAGTCCAGCTGTATCTCAAAGGCTGAGGCAGTGAGGTCAGTCCTGGCATCACCCTTGGCCCCCGACCTTTGTGCTGGGAACGTTCCATCCCTTCCAGGTACAGGAGGAATTGAAGTACAGGACCAGGTGTATTGAAGTCACTAACCAAACTTACTAGAGGGTCAGATAATCAACCTTCAGTGGTCTTATATTAGAGTGAAAACTGTCATGTGCAGCGTAATGATGTTTCAGGCCACAGTAGACCACGTATATAACAGAGGTCCCAAAAGATTATAATGCCATATTTTTAGTGTATCTTTCTATGCTTATATGTTTAGATATACAAAGGCTTACCATTGTGGAACAATAGCTACAGTTTTGCAGCTGTACGGATTTGTAGCCTAGGAGTGATAGGCTGTGCCCCATAGCCTAGGTGTATAGTAGGCTCTACCTTCTAGGTGTTTGTAAGTGCACTCTTTGATCTTTGCATATTGATGAAGTCACCAGATGGCGCACTTCTCAGCATGTGGCCCTATTTTAAAACAACACATGACTGTCAGAACACTTGGGTTTTCATTCTATACCTGTGAGGCTTTGGTGACTCAGTTCCATCCAAACCCTGGAGTGGTAGATTTCCTCGGGATGCTCTTGCAGAAGTCAGCAGCATCTGTATGAGAGCTCTCTGAGCATTGACTGTTGGGATGGTTGCCTTGATGTCCTTTCTCAGATGCCTTGAAGAGATCTTAGACTCAGTGTCCAAACCACAGTAGGAATTTTCCCTCCCCACCAACCTGGTTTCTTTTGGCGTTTCCTTCTCTGGTACATGACCAGCTGTGCAAGTCATGACCTCACTTTTTGCCATGTACTTACTATATGTTTGCCCTGACTGGAGTGCAGTGGCAGGATCATGACTCACCACAGCCTCCAAATCTTGGGTTCAAGGGATCCCCAGCTTTAGCTTCCTAAGTTGCTGGTACTACAGGTGTGTGACACCCCGCTTGGCTAAGTTTTTCAGATTTTTTTTTGGTAGATACGAGGTCTCGCTATGTTGCCTAAGTTGGTCTTGACCTCCTGGGCTCAAGCAATCCTCCTACCTCAGCCTCTCAAAGTGCTGGGATTACAGGTATGAGCCATTGCACCCAGCTCCCAATTTGTCTTAAACATCTTTTCTTTTTGAGTTGGAGCCTCACTCTGTCACCCAGTGGGAGTGGGTTTGCTGGGTTTCGGCGGTCCTTCTGCCTCACCCTTCCAAGTAGCTGGAACTACAGGCATGTGCTACTATGCCTGGCTAATTTTTTTTTTTTTTTTTTTTTTTTTTGAGTTGGAGTCTCCCTTGGTTGCCCAGACTGGAGTGCAGTGGCTGCTCCCAGCCACCGCAGCCTCGACCTGCTGGGCTCCGGCGATCCTTCCGCCTCAGCCTTCCGAGTAGCTGGAATTACAGGCATGCGCCACCACGCCCAGCTGAGTT